CAACTCCAAGAATCACTTCAATTGGTTGTGAAGACGAGTGATCTGGATCAGCAAATTGTATGTCTTTTAAATGCGGCAGATTGAGCTGATCGTCTTGACAGTTCGGGACGTAATGAGTGAGATCCCTCACTACAAAGGCGTTGACTGGAATCTTGTAATCAGAATCAAAATGAGGCTTCACTTCGAAGGACACTGCTCCCCGTGTAATGCAAGTTGCTTTTTTGCCAGTTCCACTGACTGGATATTGGGCTGAACGTCTGGGTAATCTCAGTCGCTGGGACAGAGATTCAGAAACCAAGTTGTCGGTAGAACAGGAGTCAACGAGTGCTCTGGTGTAGCTTTTTGCGCCGGACGCTGCAATAACTCTGATGTAAGCTGTTGCCAAAAGTGAAGGTTTGGGTGTTGTACATGAAGAGTGATTTACAACTTGCAGGAGTGATGATTGAGGACTCTGAAGTTGTGTGGGCAACTCTGATAGTACAGGCGCAGGTGCTGTGTTCTCTGTCATGGTCTGCGAGTGAGAGCGTGACGAACCACCAGAATTAACTCCGTGCATAGACGTATGGTGTTTTTCCGAACATTTAAAACAGTGAAACCTTGACTTGCATTCTTGAACTTTGTGAGCGCCTAGGCAGTTTAGGCAGAGATTTTTAGAAATTATAGTCTGCCTTTTCTCACAAGGGCTGAGTGCTTTGTATTGATCACATTTCCAGATAAAATGTTCTTGTGAACATAGCGAACAAGTACGTGGACTTGACGAATTTTGTAATTTCGTAGTTGCAACGTGATGTGAGCTCACGTCAGATTTTCCTTTTTTATAGGGAAAAAAGCTTTTAGTTTGATGAACCTGTTTTGCTGGGTTCGTAAGAGTTTTCTCGTTAATGGCTTCTAGTGCCTTTATACGAGTTTCGAGGAATTTTTGCAATTCACCGAAAGAGATGGGGTCATTGGCTGCCCCGTTCGCAGTCTCCCAATCGCGTCGTGTTTGAGGGTCAAGACGCTTAGTGGTCTTGTGCACGAGCCAGTCTTCGTGATTATCGACAGGCCTGCCCAAGGCTTGGAGAGCATCCTTAGCCTCAATGGTTGACAAGAGAATGCGTTTGAGTTCAGTCGCTGACTCGGACTTCGCAGGAGGAATCGCATCGAGGGATGCAAGGTGTGCGTTCACTAGCAAACGTTTGTTTTCATATTTGTTTTTCAGTTTATCCCAAGCTATTTGATAGTTGTCGTCTGTTATTGCTAAATTATTGATCAATTGAAGGGCTTCCTTTTCTAAACTGGTTTTTAGATTATGGAATTTTTCTACCGGTGGTAGGTTAGGTTTTGACCCAACAAGAGACGTGAAAAGATCTCGAAATTGTGGCCAATGGGTGTAATTGCCGTCAAATTTTGGCAAATTTATGCGAGGCAATTGACTCTGAAGTTGCACAACAGGCTGTACAGGAGGTTGGGTGTGTGGTTGCGCACGTAAGGCTTGAAGAAGTTCAACCAATTCGGGTGGAAAATGGGGTGCTTGGGAAGGTGCTTGCATAGGAGTAGCCGCGATTTCTAAATCAAGTAACACACCTATCTGTTTGGCATAGGATTCATCCACTGCCTTCATTAGATTTTGCCTAAAATAGGGGAACTCTTCGCGTTTCACCTCAAGAGTTAGCAATTTCTTATGATTGTCTTGATATTCTTCCCATTGCTGGTTAATCTTCTTAATTCTTCCCTTGATTGCGCCTAGCGTAATGTTATCTTTGCCTAACTTGTTTAGATTTTCAACCGTGCGAGATATGAACCCGAAAAGTTCGTTTTGACGTTCAATGATGGCACTCAGCTCGGCCATTTTAACGGTTGTAAAAAATTGACCAAAAAGCAAATTTACAAACAATAAATGCGAATTTAAAATTCTGAAGATTGATTTAATTGCTCAAAACTATTTATTTTAGTAAAGTCCTGAGTTGAAATACGAGATGCCGTTTGCATCCGCAGAAATAAATAGTTGGAAAGAACTCACAGTTTGCTGGTAAAATGAGTGTAAGTGAAGACGTTGATTAATTAGTTCGAAACCTTCGTGAAAGTCCTCTTGCTCACTGGGAATCGTTCGTTGTTGCTGCAGGTTCGATCTGGAACTCGACGAAACTTGGAAAAATCGATGCACACACTATTTCAGTGTTTGTATTTAAAGTCACTCAAAAATGCGCGCAATCACTGAAGAAAAGCTTGCGTTTTCAATCAGCAGAACATTTACAACACACGAGTTTTTAGTGAGTAAAGGAAAAATTATTATAATTAATTTTTCATTGTCGAACTTTGTTTTATAATGTTAATAAATGCCGCGAAAACCACTTTAACAAACGTTACGCTGCCCACATGAAAAATCAATCCAAAAATTCACTGCAAGGGATCGATGTACAAGTTTTTATTGTTCACCGTGATAGCGCGCGATCGAAAATAACACATTAGCGCATGTTATAACATTGAAAAATGACGAATTTCGGCACTTATCCGTGGTCGAATTGGACCAAAAAATGTCAGGGAAGCTTAATGGACTGTAATAAAGGTGAGTGACAAAAAACTAACATGAATTACGGCGGAATTTATTAACAAAAACAAACAAAACGAAAATAAAATTGAAAGCTGAATCGCACACACTCTACGTCAACAACTGTTGTTACAATTTTCTATCCAACTTGACCGTGAACGAAATATGATAACAAAACTGGATCTCAAATACAGAAAATAAAAATACTGTGTACAAAAGAAAATGTGTCATTTCTCAACAACAAACTATTATTATTACCATTACAATGTATTGCCATAACATAATGTGATATATCAATACGTATTGTATTTTAATGCGTATTAAAAATATGTATTTAAATATTTTAAACAAATTTATTTTTATAAATATTATATAAAAATTTTTTTATATTATTAATAGATTTTATAATTCTAAATGAATAAAAATATTACTTCATTAAATGCCCTTGAATGTGTTCATTTATATAGTGTACGCAATATTATAAAATTTTTTAACAGAAATTATGCCAAATATATCAAAAGAAAATATTTTTTATTTAGAAAATTTATATCTTAAATATAACATTTAAATTTACAAGAATTAGATATAGTACAAGAAAATTTACAAAAAAATTTTTCTAATATTATGAAAATTATAATTATTGATGATGATAGATATAAATTTCATTTAGAAAATAATATCAAATTATTAAATAATAATTTTGGTGTTAAATTAAATGAAGATATATATCAATCGATCATTAATCATCAATTATTATAATTCAGGTTTCGAATAAAACCCGAAAGGATACCCGAAACCCGCTACGTGCCCAAATCCACAACAATACCAAGGGTAAACGTAGCGGGCGTTACAAGATGAAGGACAAGATCGGAAAGTTTATTCCAAAATTGCAGAATCGAGTGGAATCTTTGTGCATCGAAACAAAATTCATCTCAACAGATCGTCTCGTCCATGGCATCTCTAGTACCGCATCGAATTTGCAAAAAAAGAAGTTGAAAAATGTCAATAGATCAATTTTTAAAAAAGACCCAGGATAGATCTAAAATTGTTACTTCATTCCAACCCCAATAATGGTCTATTTGAGGAAGTATGGAAAAAACGTCAAACATCAGAATCCAAAACCACCTATTTTGAGTCGAGGCATTTTAAAAAAGTAAGGTTCAGTAAAGTCATCGATGAAGAGGAAATAACCTTCATATTTCTATGGTCGAGAAGGTCTCACCTCCATATGTTGTTGGTAGATATATAAATCAGGGATTCGAAGAAAGTATACTCTATAGTGATGATTACAAATCCTTGTTTGATAATAAATGGATGCATGGCACTGCAATAAATGCAAGTAGAACACGAGCACCGTGCCCCATCTTGAATTTGGTTACGTCACAAGGTCTTGGATGCTGGATCAAAGGTTACGGTCTTGGATTCTGGATTAAGGTAATGGCAAAGGCAAACGGGTTCAATAAATAAAATAAAATGTGATGAAGTTGCTGCTGCGGCTGCATTGCAAAATCTATGTTACTCTTAAAAGCCTTTGAACGTTTTAGCGTTCTAAGTTTACTAAGATATTTGAGATACTATTAGGAAGCCGTTTGATATACGTTAATAATAGTGCTGTATTCTGTGGAGTGTACATATTACACGGTGTACCAAATAAATAAAACTTGTGTGTACCTAGATTTTATTTAGCGACTCTGGGGCACGACTGCAGCTACCCGCGTGCCCACCAACAACCCTTACACCCGTTCACCCGCAATCCGCATTTTGGTGGAGGTCGCTAAAAACCCGCCACAAAATAGTACTCACTTTTTGGGTACTTCTCATCCCTTGACGACACGAGAAAGAGACCATGATTAGAGCTCTAAGAAGACGCGAGCCTTGCAAAAGGTGGTTAATTTCGCCCCTAGGGAAAAAGACAAAATTTCGCCACGCAGGAGGAGTGCGTGTTTACTAGATCTTTCCGACCACACTAACTTCAAAACAATCGAACCAAATGTAGGTGCATGTACACTCCTCGAAACATCATCTTTCTACAAGCATTGTTCTACGAACTACTGTCAGCCAGTAAAAGTGAGATTAAAAGATATCTTTTTACAAATAAATTTTGCAAAAAGCCCTAAAAATACTGCGGAGACCTTCTGAATGGATTAATTTACCAATCGATATCCAAACGGAATTGTCGTGGAAAAAGAAGCAACTAAATGATATCGATAGGGACCTACTACAGCTTGTAACATACCCTTAACGCCACCTCTCTCCCATTTACACAATCACGCCCACGCGCCCCTACGACTGACTTAAGCGAACCCTAGATGTCACGGCCACAAAATGTAATAGGTCACGAGCTCACAAAGACAGAATACGACGGACCCGGAACGGCAAGGAAGACAGTTCGGTAAACCGGTCCCTAGCGCGCCTAAATACAGATTATCGGCTGGTTTTCATGACCTTGGTGCAGCAATGTGAAGTGCGCTACGTTACAACTGTCAAAATGAATTTAATTCTGTTTAAAATTTAAAAACATTGAACATAACATAACCTATCAAACCCTTACATCAAAGTTAAACGATCAAACTTGTATATTATTCTCTGAATCTGCTTTAATCGCTTCAAATGTCCCATTGCAGTGGTGCTAACGGTGGTATAAATTAGGATTTAGGATATGGTGGCAATCCTCCTAGTGGATTTATAATTTTCTATAATCATAATCTCGATCATTAGGAATACCTCTATGAATACTCATATGTGTGTAGTGTGTGATAAAACTTTTAATAGCAAAGGCAATGTTAGTAGACATCTTAAAGCAATTCATGGGGTGCAGCACGCTCCTAAACGTGGTGCAAGGCATATGGGCATAATATGTGGAATTTGTAAAAAGGAATTCTTTGATAAAGCCACCTTAACTAGACATACCGCTAAAGTGCATAAACTTAGCCAGCACGTTGTGTATGACAAGAACAAAAATATTAGATGCGAAGAATGTAAAGTTGCTTTTAGTTGCAAAAAACAGTTAATAAGACACTTAGTGGCCCTACATGAATTTGAAGAAGTGTACATTCAACAAGAATTCATGAGAATCGAAGGTAAGGTGCTTTATCATAAGAAACATTTCTTTTTCTACAATCGCCATACGAAGTTCTCCTTTAATTAACGCAAAGTTCGTGTTTTCTGAAGAGCAATCGGATAGACCACTTTGTTTCATGTTGCCCTTAACAGCAATTGGCAAAGTAGTGTTCCGCTTGCCCGGATAGTCACTGTTTGTAAAATCAAGTAACAATTGGTAATGTTGACTATCTATTTTTTACATTTTTAAATAAAGAAAGAGTATTATGTGTAAAGTGGGCTCAAAATTCACTGCCAATTTCGAGAGACAAAGGAGTTTGGCAATAGTCGGTCTTAATCGGCAGTGTACCTATCATTTTGCGCTCTTAATACATAAAAGCTATTGTATCTAATTATAGTTACTGTCGATGCAAGTGCGCTGGACTATTTCTATCATGCTGCAAACCAAGTGCTGTAAAAGCGGCCAAACGGGTCAAATATGACTGCGCACGTGTATCGAACAACATTTTATGTACCCACATTGTAATGAACTGAATGCTTTTCAGATTTTCGTGAATGGCTCAAATGTGAAGAGGAAAGTAACAAAGTTGAATACAGTCGAGTAAATGGGAAGACAATTGGAAAACAATTCAGTAGATATTTGTATGAATGCAATCGCTCAGGTAATGAATATTCATTTCGAGGATGAATGCATGGTTTCTATTCCCTTTTAACTTAAACCATATTATTTTAATAATTTATTTGTTATTCTGTAGGTCATTATAAAATCTACAGATGTTTGAAAATGATCTGCCTGGAGTAGGCTATGGACTGACATTTAGGCGAGGCGCACATTGAGACGCATGCGATGAATGCAACACAACCCATGGCCACACACGCTGTGGATTCTGTGGGAATTAATGAACAAACACATATTATTACACAATGTACGATGCCATACGGCTCATATCTGGAGCCACATAGTGTCTGAAACCCAGATTTTTTAATAATTTCAACAGAACAAAAAACGTGTGTGGCCATGGGTTGTGTTGCATCCGTCTCAATGAGCGCACCCCCTTATGCATAGCTCATGCACACATTTCAAATTCCTAAGTAATATTTGTTTATATTTTAGGAAAACCACCTAATACTTGCACTAGGAAACGGTTACAAAAATCCCAAGGATCCGTAAAGATAGGATATGCGTGTACCAGTCATATTATTATAAAAGTAAATAATAGTACCGGAGCTGTACATATGAAATATTTGAAAACACATTATGGACATACCTTTGAATTACAGCATATTCGTATCCCTGAATCTTCAAAAACTGCAGTTGCAAGTAAACTTTCACTGGGAGTTTCTGTACCTAAAATTATAAATTCTGTACGAGATAGTATTGACGAAAATGCATTACAGCGTGTTGATTTAATAACTAAGAAAGATATTTCTAACATAAGGAAATCATTTGGACTCAATGTTCTAGATGGTGTCAGGCATAGTGACGACGCAATAAGTGTAGCACTTTGGGCGAAAGAATGTTTAAATGACAAAAATAATCCTATTTTATTTTATAAGACGCAAGGATCAGAAGATACTGTATACAGCCTAGACACCTCTGATTTTTGCCTAATATTGATGAATAAGTTTCAAATGGAGGCCATAGGTAGATTTGCTAACAAATTTATTTGCATAGACAGTACTCATGGTACCAACCCATATGACTTTGAATTGACAACTTTAATGGTAAGTGACGATTTCGGTGAAGGAATGCCGGTAGCCTATATGATTGCCAATAGAACTGATACAAGAGTGTGCGAGATATTTTTTATTAATATAAAAGCAGCAGTAGGCCATGTGGCTACAAATACATTCATGAGTGATATTACTAACATTTATTATAATGCATGGGTTAGTGTTATGGGTACAGTATCGAATCGACTTTACTGTTCCTGGCATATAGACCGAGCCTGGAAATCAAATTTGATGAAAATTTGCTGTATTAATCGAGAAGATTCTATTGAAAAGAGGAAAAAAGTGTACAAGGCCCTTAAAGTTCTTCAAACTACATTAGATAATGAGAAATTTGAAAAATATTACGAAGAATTTTTAACAGAATTATGCAATGATCCAGATACAAAAAGTTTCTATGAGTATTTCTGTAACAATTACGGGAACAACTATTTGTCCTGGGCATATTGCTATCGTAAGGAGCTGCAGATCAATACCAACATGTACCTTGAGAGTATGCACCGCATCATCAAGTATGAATATTTAGAAGGTAAAAAGGTGAAACGATTGGATAAGAGCCTCCATAATTTACTACGATTTACTCGTGACAAACAAGTTGAAAGGCTCATCAAGTTAACAAAAGGTAAATTAGTAATATTAAACCATTGTTTATATTATATGAGGTTTCCTTTTCTTTTTAGGTAAGACCACTGATCGGTTGACTGCAATTAATTCAAGCCATAAAAGAGCAATAGATTCCAACTTCAGTTGTGAAAGAATCGAAACTAGCCATGATGACTATCAGCAGTGGTCTGTGTGTAATCTGAAAAAAGAGACAACTTATGTGGTTACTGAAAAAACACCGGATACTTGTTGTGCCTTGATTTGTCAAACTTGCAGAGTATGTTATCACTCATACAGCTGTACGTGTGTAGATTATTTTATAAAATCAAATATTTGCAAGCATATTCACTTCATACGCATTCAGAATTTTGAGGATGCCAGTAATACACTGAGTAATTCTGAAAGTAAAGAAAACAGTGTGCATGAAGAAATAGAGTCGTCCTTAAAGAGTCTTTCAAAAGAATCTCGTGATAGTGGAAAATTGCAAAATACGCTCGTAGATAAAGCTTTAGAAGTGGTTGCATTGGCACGTAAATGTACTGTGCCTGACATTTTAACCACTGCACTCAAACAGGTAACTGCTTCCAGTTTGTTGCTAAAAATGGATGGAGAAACAAAGCAGATACCAAAATTCCAAATGACTGAAGCAACAAAGATGGAGCCGAGTAATAAAAAAATTATGAAACAGATTTCGTTTTTTTCTACAAAAAAAAGAAGAAAACAGCTGCATAAATAAATTTGGAAAGGTCCTAATGCATTTAATTAATTTGAGATTTAATGTTATGTGCCAATTCTTTTTACTTTTGTGGTAACCATACCTGTTACTTTATAACTGTAATTGCTAAACAAATATCGTTGTGTATCCTTTATGTTTAATGTTATGTTGCCAAGTGACACTATAATATTATGCGTGTTTTATTTTATCTACTTTTGTTCAATAGGAATCCCAAAAACCTGGCTAGAAGATCTGCACCTAGCACATGAAACTGATGAAACTTCATCTAAATTGAGAGATCTGCGTTTATTCTGTATTTGTTGTGCGTGTGTTTATTTTTTAATATAGGGAATGTACTTTATAAAAAAAACGAAGGGAGTGATACTGTCCATTTAAAAAAAAATTGTTGATGAAGTCTAGAATTTTCAAAATCTTTAGGGATCTATTGTGCAGATGCCATTTGTTCAAAATAAAGTTTACCTTTAAAGTTGTACCAGTGTTTTATTGCAAGTTAAGCAAAGAAAATACATTGATAATAAACAGTCCTACTACTTCGGAAAAGCCTGCAATAGGAGGTACTCTTTTGCAACAGCTGCCAATTATATCGGTATCGTCTTAGAGTGACCATAGCTATACAGCTATTGTTAAAACTCGCATATTAGTGCTAATTAAGTGCAATTGATAGATACAATTTAGTTTGTATGGGCAAAAGAGGCCTCAAGGTTTTCAAAAGAAAGCGTTTGTTGATACGTATTTAAAAATAACGTTCCTGTATTTTGCACAGCCTCTGTACGTACCTAGGTATCATTTTAAATTCCCGCACTTGTTTATGTTCATTTTGCTAATTTCATGTGACAGACTCAAGGTCATGAAAACCAGCCGAATATCTGTTTTTAGGCGCGCATATAACCGGTCCCATACAGACGCTACGGTGGCTTATGGTATCCCCGAGTGAACAACAAGTAATCATCTCGACCGCTACCTGCTCGTGACAGTGCGACGTGAACGTTTGGACCTTTTGTATATTGTTAGTTGTTAAGAATTGTAAATATTGTCGGAACCTAGCCCTGAAATAAAAATAGTCTTGTGCGTGACGTGCGGAGTACTCTCTACCCATCGTCCCATCAAGCTTGAAAAAGGAGCGGACGCAGAGTTAGTTAGACGAGTGAGAGAGATAAATAGTTATATAATTTCTAGTCAAGAACTTGTAGACATTCTAATAGGTAGTTTAAATAAACCGATACAACGAAATATCGAAGGATCCTCAGTATTACAATCACTTTTAACGACAATTTATTTTAATCTTACAAAATACGTTTTATAGTTAACAAAAATGCATCAAATTCATGTCTTGGTCATTGAGATAATGCTTTTAATCTTGTTCCCTACGATATCAGTGCAAGAAAAACGATTTTGACATGTTTTGATCAAAATCCATGTGGTTGCCAAAAATAGATCAAAATTCATGTTTTGGTCAATGAGATAATGCTCTTTCCCAACGATCTTGGTGCATAAATAACGATTTTGACGTATTTTGATCAAAATCCATGTGGACTCCGAAAGATCATTTAACATCTTTGAATCTCACATATGCGGTTATCAAATGTGCACGACGTGATGCACTCTTTCAGCATCAAGATAATGCGTTAGAAAGCTTTTAAAATTCCCAATTCATGTGTAAATAATAATGTTGGGTGCATTTTGCCCTAAGACTTTCGACCTGTACCACAGAGATGAGTTATATTGAATTATTACACATCTAAAAGCCATAGGGAATAATCTAGCGAAAGTCCGAACTCGATACATGACCTAGGGAATGAAATATGTTAATTTCTATTATATTGAGCCCGCAGTTTTTCCTGTTCCGATTCACTGGAAGCCCTATAACTTTTGTTCCTGTTGAACCAGCGTACTGAAAATCAATAGCGTCCGTCCTTAAAATCCAAAGTACCCATACACCAAATTTCAACACAGTCGGCCACTTTTAAAAAGAGTTAGAGCGCACACGGACGGACGGACGGACGACAATACAAAACTATAAAGGATCTGAGGATCCTTAATAAAGTAAAGGACGATATAGATATACTCCATAGATAATCAATTTTTCAATGTTGAACAAATTTGCTCCAAACACGTATTAGACCAGTAGAATCTTCGCGAAAAAGGATCATATACTTATCGATACTTCCGAATGTCATTAAATAGGCGAGAATAAGCTTTTTACTGCATTTTTGCCAGAATACAGAAGCTTATAGTTTCACTAATAGTCGGTCGTTCATTCGAGCGCATTGTATAAAGCCATCGGGTTTTCGATTAATCTGTAACCTACCGACCACGTGGAATTTTGATCGAAATCCTTCTCAATGCCCAAGCAGTAAATTTCATGCATGTTTGGTAGCCACGTGTATTTTCATCACATGTTCGAGTCATTCCGGCATTGCTTACTTCGCAAGCTTATTGATCCGTCACATAAAAAATGCACTTAGGTCTAGCGATGGAAAACACAGCCTCGTTTAATTACAGACGAAGTTTGTAGTTAGTTTCTGACCTTTATCAAGATATATACCGTAAAATGGGGTAACTTGCACATACCCTGTTTCGGCTGATGCGCATTATGTCTTTTTTAGGTCGGCAACGTTTCAACAGGATGGTACCACATGTCACACGGCCAATGAAACCATCAATTTATTGCAAACCAAATTTCCTGATCGCATAATTTCACGAAACTCAGCTGTTAAGTGGCCAGCCAGATCGTGTGATTTAACACCACTGGATTATTTTTTGTGGGGCTATGTTAAGGACAGAGTCTATACGGAGCCAATCGAATCGATTGCAGCCTTAAAACTCAAAATCCGTGATGTGATTAACGAAATAGACCCGTCATTTTCCCAAAAAGTGATTAAAAGCTTTGATGAATGAATCGACATCTGTCAGCGTGCTCGTGGTGGACATTTGCCAGATATCATTTTTCATTCATAATTGCCCAACTTTTCTCTTTGTAATTCAATAAAAATTTTAATCATCTTCATCTAATTTTTTGTTTTAGAAAACAAAGTTCTTGTTAAAAAACCCTTTAGTACTCCATTTTTGGATACTTCTCGTCCCCTCGAAGACGCGAGCCTTGCAAAAGGTGGTTAATTTCGCCCGTAGGGAAAAAGACAAAATTTCGCCACGCAGGAGGAGTGCGTGTTTACAAGATCTTTCCGACCACACTAACTTGAAAACAATTGGACCAAATTTCTACAAGCATTGTTTTACGGACTACTGCCAGCCAACCAAAGTGAGATTAAGAGCTACCTTTTTACAAATAAATTTGCAAAAATACCCTAAAAATACTGCGGAGACCTTCTGAATGGATTAATTTACCAATCGATATCCAAACGGAATTGTCGTGGAAAAAGAAGCAACTAGATGATATCGATAGAGACCTACTACAGCTTGAAAAAGAAGCGGACGCAGAGTTAGTTAGACGAGTGAGAGAGATAAATAGTTATATAATTTCTAGTTAAGAACTTGTAGACATTCTAATAGGTAGTTTAAATAAAGTTAAGGACCATATAGATATTAAGTTGTTTGATAATAGTTATTTTATAGATATTAGTTTTAGTTACTTAAACTTATATGAAAGGAGTTGTATAAACAGTTTGTCTAATTGTTATAGGCAGTATATAGAAGTAGATAGGCTATGAGAGTTCTGGCCCACTTTTGGTCAAAATCTGCGATTTGGTCTTCTGCTGATGATTATAACGACTTCCCGGAGACCGTAAGAATGGTTAGTTGAGAGGACTTTATTGCCGTCAAAAATTTGTGATGAACCCCTTAATTTAGCAGAAATGTTTGATAGCAGAACACCTACAAAGAATATAGGTAAGTGATGTAGCAGAGCCTTTAGTAGTGTCTGATGCGGACTGTATTATCTCAGATGAATGTACACAACAAGCATCATCTGAAGCAACGATACCAGATTGTACACAATAATTATCTAAAACAACAATACCTTCCGTATCTATTAGCTCTGAGGAAGTGCCATCATTTATTATTATTGATGATAATTGTATTGTCGCATTCCATGAAGAGTGCCGGCCACTCCCTCATTGAATGTTACAATGCAATCCTCTTCTGTTATGGATTTTCCTCCCCCACCTTATTCCGAGGATGATGCCGTGAAATATATTGCACCGCTACTCCCCATGGCTACTCCAAATATAGAAAACGATATACGTCGTTTATGTCAGCTTGGATGTGACTATATTTATGCCAATAATGCCCGTTTAGCAAAACACCCACGTTCAGATGCCTATTGGCGTCTGAATTCCAGGGTATCACAAATCGGAAAAATGAAAAGTGCACTAGCACATAAATTATTCAAAAATACTAATTATAATCAACATTTTAAATTTGCATTAAAAAATAACATACACATGAACCATCTAAATTTACTGTTTCGGTTAAATAAATATTAGATTCATTCCACTGCCCCATTTACACCTATCGCTCTTTCCTTTTTTCCTGACGACGATGCTATGTTGGGTTCCCGTCCTGCCGTTGAACAATGCAAAAATAGTTTGACAACTAAATTTTATTTTATTTATTTTGCGCAGGACGCAATAAGTTACGACTGTCAGGTCTTAAAGAAATTCTTAAGAACGCTTCCGCCCGGAATCCGCAACTAATAACTAACGGCACTAAGATCATGTCCGCCTAATTATCTAGGAAATTTTATTAGTAGTTAAGTAAACAAGGTGTAATCTTAATATTTTCTATTTAATTAATAATTTGCATGTTTAATTTTACTTATCAATATTTGCTAGGACTTAGTCCTCATAATCGCATTGTTCTTTGAGAAGTCAATAATGATTTATTATCTTATAAAAGGAGCTGAAGAGAAAGAACATCCAGTATTACTTCTCAGTAGCTCAAACTTATATTTATAATTGTAAGTAGACAAAGTATAGTGGTAAATTTAAAAGTGTAAACTTCAACTTGAGAATAAACAAACTTAATTGTCTTCTGCGATAAAATTCACAGAGTCTTAATTTCCTACCTATGGTCCTATCCAAACCCCCCGAAAACCTTCAACTTTCCAGAATCCAAAAGTAACCTTCCCCATTTGTTTAATGCTAACCTAAATTATGATGGTTTTATTATGGACGGGACGAAATGTCTTCCGAAACACGCATCGCCTTGTTAAGAATGCGAATTCAGAGCATTTTTAAAACAAAATCAGGCCGCCAGAAAGTCTTTAACTTCATCCAAAGTGTTGAATCAAAACCCCCTGAATCCTCGCTATAGCTTTTTCGGTGGTCGTACCAACGCGATCAGATATTTGTTTGTTTGCTCACTTGACCGTTAATTAATAAATATATGAAATACGCCGTCGGGCACCCGACAGTATACAACTTAGATGATTGTGGTACTCGCGACTTGCGTATACCATTGGTAAAGTATAGCATACTTCCACCCTCTGATTTGTATCATTCCGTTCTGCCTTTCAAGATGCACGATAAATCAATGTTCGTCAGCTACATGGTCTTAGTCTTTGAAGTGTGGGAATATGAGATTAGTCAATATGACAAAGCGAGTATGGGTGGTGGGTTATTTTCGGGTTACGTCGATAACTTTCTGAAAATAAAGCAAGAGTGTAGTGGCTGGCGATCTTGGTGCGTCGACGATGGATCGAAAGAGCATCTTTGCGAATATTTGGATATCTGGTCCAAGATATATAGCAAAATTATTTTTAAATTTATGTTGGTATAAGTTCGGACAGCGGGAAAATTTAAATCAAACCTCAATTATTTCGGAAGTTTTTGAAAATTATGGTCGATCCTTCGAAGGAGGTACAGCTCTTTTACTAGTTAGCGACGATGTCATTTGTGTGAACTAGCTTAGACCCGAAGATGGCGTCGAACCGCTCACAACTGTCAATATGGTATTGGCTGCTTATCCGGCCGCAAATGCTCAGCTTGTGGTGTATAACGGGTACTGTATTTTGATACAAATTCGGTGATTTTTAGCAAAGACCGGGCGAGTGGGTTCCACCCGTCGCACCCCGCATGAATGGTTCCCGTGGAACTGCACGACAAACAGCTTAGCGCCATTATGAATTGCGAACAAAAATGATCCATCACAATCAACATCCAACAATACTTGATGCTTTAGTTTATTACACCCTGTACATTTAATTTCAAATATACCGTCACAACGATTCCATAAGACAACAAAGAAACAAAATCATCGGAATACAAGACCAGTTAGCTACCCTGTATACGAGTATATATTATTACACCCTGTCTATTTAAAATGACGCAGCCAATCACAGTAAAAAATTCAAATTCCCCACACAAAGTCAAATTTACCGCAACAAACTCGCAGACCACAATGTGACCTCAGAGTGGTGGGGCGGGCCGTACTCGTACCACTATCTTTCTCTGTTTTAATTGTGTACTTCATTACAGATAATAATCAGCACTTATGACTAACTCAATGGATATCGATTTAGATGAGCTGAACATACATTATCGTAAACCATTTAAAAATGGGATTGTGATTTACTCGTGGGTCCTCAATCTTGATATCATCTCGACAAAGTATGCGCTCGGGTAATCTCCGCCCGCGGACCATCGCCCATGCGTTACTTCCTCCCCTTTACACACATCTCCATTGACACATTCCCTTCGCTTTACACAGATCTCTAGCTAACAAAAAAAAAATTGAACGAAGTGCACCAAAAGAGTAGGTACCTACTATACCGTGTGTCCGTTCTCAAACTCGAACATAGGGATTTAACATGGAGTTGAACGTTTTTGCGGATTTCTGCTCGCCAACTTATTCTACAGAAAAGGTAATGGTATCATTGGAAAGAGAAAATTATTGCGCATCCACTGATACTAACAACAAGACTAAAAATTGAAATTGTAATGAAAAATTTTAAATCGTTTTGATTAAAAATTCGACAGTATTTTCCAAAACATAGTAGGCTTGAAACAGTTTGTTTATCAATAAAAATTTGACGTTTACGCTTTTGTGAAACTGAATTTACGGAAAGATGAATAATTATACCAACGAAGAAAGAGTTTTTATGGTAAAAACCTTTTATAGCGGTGTTAGTTTGCGAAGAGTTCGAGATTTGTTTGCCGTTGCGTTTAATACGAGACCGATACCATCAGCAAGTACCATACAAAAATATGTAGAAAAATTTGAAAATCAGGCAAATATTTCAGTAGAATCAGAAAGTAGGGGTGGTGAGCATTACAAATTTTATTTTAAAACATGTTCTAAAATGACATCATATCATAGGATATCGACAAGGGGATGACCGCACAGAAGAGCAAGTTTTGGCGATGATAAATGCAGACCCAACGTACAGTTTGAGGCAAATTTCCCATGAAACTGGTTTATGTAAGTCGCGGGTATGGATGATATTAAAGAAATACAAATATCACCCTTATAAACCACAATGTCATCAAGAGATTTTTTATGTTGACGAAGAAAGTAGGAGTGCATTTTGTTATGAGATACAAGAGCGCGCTAACAACGATCGCCGCTTTCTATCGTCGATATGCTTCACAGACGAGTGTACCTTTACCCTCAATAATGAACCCAATGTTCAAAACACACGTCATTGGGCTCAGGAAAACCCTAGGCTTAATATTTCAACCAGAACTCAGTATCCTCAAAAAATTAATATCTGGGCTGGGATTTTTAATCATAATATTATCGGCCCATTTGAAATTGAAGGAAACTTAAATTCAGAAACCTATTTAGATCTTTTGGTAACAAAGGTAGGACCCGCATTGGAAGACGTTGCAAGAGAAAATCAGGAGATCTGGTTCCAACAAGACGGCTGTCCTGCGCATTTTGGTTTAAACGTTAGACATTTTTTAAATAATTCATTTCCAAATCATTGGATTGGTAGAAGTGGTACCATAAATTGGCCAGCCAGATCTCCAGATTTGGCACCTTGCGACTTCTTCTTGTGGGGACACCTTAAAAGTAAAATTTATAAAAGACGCCACCCAGATATTAATTCTTTGAGAGAAGCTATAGTTACTGAATGCGCGTTAATTACTAACAGGGAGTTAGCGAATGTGCGAAATAGTTTTTACAACCGACTGGGATATTGCTTAGCTCAAAACGGGGGGTTATTTGAATATTTACTTTAATTTGTTTTTCCTTACTAGTATTTTTGTGTATTTTTAATAAAAATCGTTCGAAGCCTTTATTGCTAACATACTATATTGGTGTATTATAGAAATAATTGCCAAAAGACTACGAATTGAATACACATATTAATTCCCTATGTTCGACTTTGAGAGTGGACACCCGGTATATA